ATATATATATACCTTTTAATACATAATTCATTTCTAATTCCAGTTAGAATATTTTAATATTTTGATAAATTAAATTCTAATATTTAATACATTTTATAACATAAGGGCACTACATTAACAACATACCTGTACAATGCACTCCCAATGTATAAACACTGACCATTGTAGGGAAGTGTAGCAGATAGAAAGAAGGGTGACTGTAAAAGCTCTATGTACCTGATGATGGACGCAATAGGCCAAAACATATAATATGTGCAAATGCATGTTACTTTTGCCAGAATTGTGTCGACTGAATAACAATAAATATTATCTTACAATATGATGCTACACTATAATATATCTAGGTGACTCTGAAGATTAGACAGAATGGTATGGCATCTAGAGCCATGTTTACTAGGCAGATCAAGTTTCAGGGAAGGACATCGTTACAACTAGCTTTAGATGTTTGTAAAATTTCCTACCCAAGTTTCGTGGTGGTGTGGTCATCCTTCATGTTGAGACATTCCCATGATTGAATCTCAATCTAGAAACAGTCTATTCTGACTAAATTTTTCTGTGATTTTTCTCTGTCCTTCCATGCAAATTTTTTCAAAGTGCCATGAAGTAGACCACTGCCATTTCCTCCCACAATATTCTTCATTCACCATTCACAATCATACTATCATTTTACACTGTGGAGTTGAGAAAGCATAATTAAACAAATATACCTGGGTCTTTCATATGACAATAGTGGGTAAAATGTTCTGAATTGGAAATAATCTACACACTTTTCTTTGTATTATATACAAGTTTTAATTTTGTAAATAAGTATGCCTTGAAAATAATATTTTGTTTAATAAAACAAGCAAATATTTAAAGTTCAGGGTACAAATTGAAAATGTAAAGCATGACAACAAGGAATATATACACAGTACATTACTTTGATAAGGAGGAGTTCTTTCTTTCTGACAATGTATGTGTACAATAATATTTGGAATTTGTATTTTGTACTTCCATAAAACAAACACAGAAACTATTTAAGACATGGGGGGGGGGACTCAAGGTAATTTACTATTGCATTTTTCTAATATTTTAAAGGTTTGTATTTTATGAAAAAACTTAAAAAAAATCACTTTCCATTTCTTAAATTGTGATGTCTCTGTATTCTACATTCTGATAACAAAAGGAAACACTGTTCCACTCCTGTCACTTACAGTAGTGTTCATCAGAAAGAGTACTGTACATCCAAGGGTACTTATTTATATTCATGTATTCAATGAATCTGTGTGTGTGTATGGTAGACATACTTTAGTTTTTGTCATTAAATATATCATGGATCCATATCTTTAGTATCTTTCTGCTGTATCTTCTCTCTGAAAATAAATACTCTAAAATGCACATTTTTTATTAAAGTGCGAACTAAAATGATTATAAAGTAACAATAAATTGTGTAAGAAACTGAAAAGTTTCTTCTCTATGGCCTTTTGAAAAAGGAAACTGAATTGTATAACAGAAAGCATAGTTTTAGTGGATTAGGACAGTGTAGCTTGTCACCTGTGATAAATTCAAATGAAAAAAGGGACATCAACAGAGTTTGACAGTATTTTTATTGGCTGGTTGCAGTTTAATTCACTTGTGTACAGAGGAAACAAATGTCATTGAATAGAAATTAAACTGTTATTAAATTATAATTTTGGATAAGTGATACAGTAGACTCTCATTTTATGTGTATTCTGCTCACACATGTATCATGTTGAAGCAATTGTTTTAAATATATTTGCAATCACACACATCAGCTGAAGTGCATAGACCACATCAGCCATGTGCAGCCTTGGTTCTGAAGCAAGTTCCTGGTTACTCCTTCTGTCTCAATGTAGCCACTGGTAGAAACATACTGGTTGTGAAAGGTTTCACTTTTGTGCTATTGGTATCATAATATGAGGCCTAAGAAATAAAATTCCTCATTTTTATATTGTTTCTTATGAGAAAATTCACTTTAAGTCCCACAAATTTGAGACGTAAGGTTTCTCAGGAATGCAGTACCCACATAAAACAAGGGTCTATTATAGCTGTATGTTATATCTCTGAATTAATGAACTGAAAGTTTGGAGTATGTATTTAGAAATGGCTAATGTAGTATTAAGTAAACAGATATGTTATTTTTTTATGGCACTGTTTCAGTGGCACAAGCTTCTTTCTTCTCTTGCAGTCTCAGTGATGGCATCGAATCTAGCAGATAAAATTATGTACATACGTCATATTATGCCTACCAGTAAAGCATACTGCTAGTTAAAATGTTGTTTGTAATAAATGTACTGTTGTCAGAACTTGGCCACGTACACTTCAGCAAGTTAGCTGGTAGAGGCATGAATGAAGTGTTCACCACATAATAATAGCAATTTGATTTTTGAAATGAGCTTGATGCCTTGTAACATAGTATCTTCAAATTCGAAATCATATGGATCTCCACAATTAGAATATTGCTGCTATACAGTGGGGGTGAAGGTTAGGCTCTTGAAATCTTTTAGAGATTGGAGGAATATCTGATTTTAAAATCTTGCACTCTGCTTCATATGCTGTATATGGATTGAGCACTTTCCATCAGTGTTTATGCAGGATATATAACAAGCTAATGTACAAGCATTTGTTTGTGGTTGTATTTAAGGTCTCCAAATTCCTTGGGTAAGATGAATGTTAACTGGAATCAATAAGTTTCATGCAGCATTCAGTTGCCTAACTGTGCTGAACACAAACAAGTAATTACTGGGCCTATTTTTGCACCGCAATGTTGTGCATCATATACAGGCACTGAAAAATGAAGTGATTCCTGTATACCAGTATATGCATTCCAGTCACTAGAAGCTAGTGATGAAATTTGTTCCCTTGGAATGAATTGTTTATTTTGCTTAATGTACTTTGTGTCCTGAGCACTTATAACTATGATATATTTCTTCTGATTTGGTATATTAGTACAGGGGTCCTCAATTCTTCAGAATTTTGAGGAAATATGACAGCTCAGGTATCTATATGCCTTTTGCTGCACCTAGTTAACTTCTTAGGATAGTGTCTTTAAAAGAGCATGCAGTGTCAACAATACTGATTAAAACTATTGATCATAATAATTCCCTTTATTTCATTTATATAAAGCAGGAAATGTGATATACATGTTGCATAATTCTTGTATTGTTAAAGTGTCAATTAAGGAATGCCGAATCATGAGGGTTGAATGCATTGTAGTGTTCTAAAGCAAGAGATAACACTTTAACAATGTGATAGTCATATTTCCTCATTGCAGGTTGAGTTAGAAGTTTGTCATTTCGCATTATTATACATATGAACGTTTATGTTCCTGGTATGAGGTTTACAATGTCGATGATTCTTATTTCTGATTGGAACTATAGATTTCACAATTAGATGATGGGAAAGTTTGGTCAGAAACAGACATTCAATAAGCTGTACTCCGTTGACTGTCAAGCTAAAATGTAGATCTGTATTATTTATTCAGTATTTAGTTTACAGTTTTTTCAAAATTCTTCAAGAGGTGTTTGTTATTGCCTTTGTCCATATCATGACATGTATTGGAATGTGGCTGTATCTTAGTTCAAGTATTCAGACACCATTTATTAGTATGGAAACGAGAGTTCAGTTTCAGGAAAGTCCAGAAGGAATTTATTGTGGGAAAAGTGGCATTCAGACAGGCTTTCCTCTGAATATTTTGGTTTTCTCTGTCAATCATATTTCTACTACTGCTTCATACTTAACTTACCAC